GAAAGATTAATAATAGTAACTAAAAAAAATGCAGGGGATCAGTTATGTAAATTATGCAGAAGGAAGTGATAGTCCCACTTCACATAGTAGATAAATTATATTTTCCCTTCTTCCTCAGAAAGTCCCTGCATTTGCTAAAACAAACACGAGGGAGTATATTATGCAAAAAATCATCTCCCTTATTTACTAGTTTATTACTTTAGGAAAGTGGTGGTGGTTGTTCTTAATGTGCATTCAAAAATACTCACCCCCTCAGTGTCTGAACTAGTGAACCCAGAACTGCTGTCTAATATATAAATTGTTACTTAATATATAATTACCACTATGACCTACTTGTAATTTCTGTGTTCACTGTATTCATTAAACTGTGCTTGGCATTTAAAAATTCTCTTCTAAAATAATAGGCATATTGTTCCATACAGAGTGATAACAAATTGTTGTTTGTTTCTTTTTCAGGCATCATTAGAACAGCTCTGCCAAATATGAACAGAGAAAACAGAGAGCAATATCAGGTTGTCATCCAGGCAAAGGATATGGGGGGCCAGATGGGCGGATTATCAGGAACCACCATGGTGAACATCACCCTGACTGATGTCAATGACAATCCACCTCGATTCCCACAGAGTAAGCTTCCGTTAATGGTCCTTCTGTGCTACAAAAATATCAGAATAAAAGAATTAGGCAACCACCATCTGGTTTAATTAAAAAAAAAATCTAGCTTATGGAGCGCATACAAAAAAAGGTTTTATCCACAGATTTATTCATCATTATTAAAAAGTAAAATAAAATGTTACGGGGTCAACTTTGTAAGGGGAAAATACAGTTGCAAGGACCAGTTGCTTAACATGGGATACTTCTTAGCATAATGGCAGAGAATGAGACTTCTCCCCCCTCCCTCCCTCACAAAAGGAATGGAAGAGATAACAATAGTATGTAAGGGCTGGGAATGACCTTGGAAATTATTTAGTTCAACTAACTACACAGTGCAGGAATTTACTGCTTCAGCATCTCTACCAGATGGCCATCCAGTTTATATTTCCTACAAAGGAGAGTCCACCACCTCCCAAGCAGTCTGTTCTATTGTTAATCAACTCTTACTGTTAGGAAATTTTTCCTGATGTCCATTTGAATTTGCAATTAAACCCATTGTTCTTTGTTCTCTTTTCTGGAACAGTTCTGCCCCATCTTTTACATGATAACCAATAAGATAATTGAAGACAGCTATTGTGTCTTCCTGCTCTTTTCTCTTGTCAAGGCTAAACATACCCAAAGCTTTCAACTATTCCATATAAGGTGGTGTCCGCCCCCCCCCCCGCTTATAGGTCCCTCATCACATTAATTGTTCTCTTCTGAACATATTACATTTTGCCAATGCCCTTCTGAAACTGTGGTACTCTGAAATGAACAGAATATTCTAGGTATGGTCTGACCAAAGCAGGATGTAGAAGGACATTGATTTCTCCTGAGCTTGACACTATAATAATAGTTTCAGGAGCACATCTCTGTTACCTGGAAGTTAATAATTTGAGCAATGTAAAAAAAGAGGGGAATGCTTTCTGAAAGATGAGCACAATTCAGAGTTAGCTCGGATGTTGAAACAGGAAGCTCCCAGTCACCACACCAAAGCTACTTAAAGAGATCTGCAAAGAGCCATAGATACAAGGCCACAACCCATTGTATAGTTAACATGCTTTAGTGTAGTAGAGAGCTTGTTATCCTTTTCAGTTTTCCAAAGATGACTCAAAGTAGTTTGGGAAGAACTAATTTTGGCCTCCTTTTGTCTGTTTCCCTCTCCTTGTCCAGTTTCTAAAAGTAGGTAGCGGGAGGAAGGATTCAAGAAGGTATTTGCAGATTCATTTCCCATGTTTCCCAGAAGTAATTTGGGAACAACACAGAATGGTAAAGGAGACTTTTCCAACTGCTGATGCATTGCTGCATTGATTTTTGAAAGCAAATCAGAGGCAATAGGAGGACACACTTTTGGTTTTGAGTGCTGACGTCTAAGTAAACCATTATCAACCAAGCATGACATTGGAAAATTGAGGGTTACTTTCCGAATAAGATTTCATTTATGACATCAGTTAATTTCAGCATCATCATTAGGTGTAACTGAAACTAATGGTATGCAGGTTTTGAGTCACAATGATTGAAAAGTTAACCAAAAAAAAAAAAAAAATAGACCTAGAAAATGTTATTTGGACCATCAGGTTGAACCCACATTCAGTGTATTAATTAAAGCACTCCAGATGTACCCCACAGGTGTAGGAGGGGGGTGTCCAGGTTAAGGCAGTGGCAACAGCATAATCAAACCCCCACCACATTATATTTATAGCACACATAAAAAGGTTTCAGTTATTTTTTTAATTTATATTTATATATCAAATTTGTCACTGCGCATCTCGTTAAATACAACTCTGGGCAGTTTACAGTTGCATGATTGTGGCCACCATGTCACTTTATGTGATATGGGCAGCTATATAAATGTGACATATAAATAAATAGAATAAATATTGATTTTTTTATCTCCATCCACCCATGGATGCCCCTGCCAGATGGATGGCTATCTAGCTCTACTTGAATATATCATGGGAGGTGCTATAATTTATTTTTTAGTTACAATAAACCTGTCCATGGATTCAAATATTTGATTAGACTCAGGGTTGCACTTAACTTTTCTATGACGTCAAGGACCACAACTTGCAACAAAGCAAATTTGACAGGAATATGCAAGGCCCATGGGTAGAACTAGGATTATGGGGGGTTCCTAAGTTTTGAGGAATTTTTTAAAAAGCATATTTTAGAACTTTTGTTCAGCTTTTATGCGCTTCTCATCTTAAAATGGCAGAAAAATCTAGTTAATTTTTGCCAATTTTGGCCAGGGAGAGCTTGAAGAGAGAGAAAAATGCAATCTGGATATTGTTGCTCAGGGGCCCAAATTGGTCAGCTTGGATTACTTACCACTGTGGGCCCTTATTAAAACTACTGTGACTCTTTGTTGGTTTAGGTATAAACATAGAATGAATAAAAATAAATTTTAAAATATAAATGAATAAGCAAATACAGGTGAACAGGTTATGATAAAGTGAGAGAAATGATAAAGTGAGTTTCCGGGTAGGGGAGGGTGCTGAAAAGAAACAGTGGTGAGGTTTCTTTGGTGGACAAGTTACATTTGACCAAAATTTCCTCTTCTACACAGCTATTAAAAATTATTTCTGAATAGTGACGTAATAATCAGTCTTCTGCTGTTTCCAGCGCCTAACATGGAAATTCTTCTTTTTTTTTCCAATTTTTCATATGGAAAAGAAAAGAAGGAAGGAAGTAAATCTGGGTTCTTTGTGTGAAGAAGGTTCTGTGTGTGCATGTAAAAAAGAAATAGGGATATATCTATATACCGTAAACTCAGACACAGTTGGCAAAACTTTAGTAATTCTTCACCAGAACCTAAACATGAAATTCAGTTTGGTTCAACCGAATATTACTATATAGCTGATTTTCCTCTGTTGTACAAATGCAGCATTAATAATAGTGTGAATTGTACAGTATTCAGTGGACTGTTCATGGTGGACTTGTTGTTTCCAGGGATTCCATTCCAGCATAAAGCCACAGATAATGACACCATGAAAATGAGACTTTGAGTTATGAGGAATGGGAGGTCAGCTTCTGGTCCCTCTGGTGGTCCTCTTCATCTGTAGTCATTATCTGCCCTATGGGCTGCTCTTTATTTCTTCTCTTTGTTTGATCATAGTAGGTATTGCTGGATGAGCCCAGTCATAAGGCCTTGCATAGCTTCCTTCCAGCAGCTGGCCCTTTCTTCACTGAACTGATTCATTTGGTTAGTCATAGAGGGGGACGAGTCTTTCTTTTTTATGGTCTCAGGGAACAGGGTCAGCCCTCTATTTCATTATCTCAGTAGCACTGCTGGAGGCTGGGGCTGCACACATGCCTCTTTTGTTTGTTTAAGTTCCCTTCTTCCCCTTTACTACAGAGGATACCAATGATGTTCTTTCACAGCAGTGTATATGAGTCTTTAGTCTGGGCTTGGAAGCTAAGCCGGGTTGGGCTTGATGAGTCCAGAGAATACCGGAGCTGAAAGCTAGATGGGGAAATTGAAAAACATCATGGAAGAAGGCAGTGGCAAATCACTCTTCTAATGTTGCAAAGGAAACTGCATGATTGTGTCCAATCAAGCTCAATTTGAGGGCATATTTACCTTTGCCTTACAGCTACGTATGCACATGGGAAGATAAACTATCTCTTTTTGCTGTAAGGCATTTTTTAAAATTAAATATTCTTCCTCCCCACTTCCCTTGACAGTCTCCTTATTAATGAGGCTTATGTTAAAAGAAAGCAAATGAATGGGTTTGTGAAAGGGCTTGGAAAGGGCTTGATTCATGTAAGTGCTAAAAGCCTTATTGATTCCTTCTTAAAAGAGAATCAATAACATTCATGTCAAATGTGAAACTGTACACTTAATGGATCTTATCTCTTATCTGATTTGCTGACTTGATTCAAGAGGACTCATGAAATTGGAAGCCCCTTACACAGTTATTATCAGAATAGGGTTGTATTAGTATTAATGACAAAGAACTACTCACAGTTATGGGCACCTTTCTGAAGCCTTGTGAACTCATTAGATAAATGACAAGTTTTCTGAGTCAAAAGGAAGTCAAGTGCTTTCGTTGGAAATATTTTCAGCACTAAAAATTAAAAAAGCAAACTTTTACATGCCACCAATGAGCAGTTGGTGCTGCTGGAAACTCAGCTGTGTCTCCTCTTTACGTGTGACATTAGCAATGATTAAAAGTGATTGTCAAAAGAAATATACTTGTTAAAGAACAGTTTTTAAAAAGTTTTGAATACAGAATACAGAAATTCTGTTGTGGAAAACTCTGTTCCAGTGCTAAAACATTATTTTCATATAC